TCTGTTCCAACTGGCCACTGGAATCAGGTAATTAATATAAGTTGAAGTTCAATTACAGTTTTAAAAATTGTTTAACATTCATGGTTTAAACTGCTCCAAATTATTTCTAGTATCAACCAATTGGTCTCCAGAGACAATACTAAAATTAAAATAGTTGTTAAACTACTGACAAGTTTTCTGAAACCGAGCTTATGAACAATAGAGTAAAGGTTGCTGGTAAACTAGGTATATTTACTTAAGTACTGTACTGCAATAAAATAGTGATGTACTTTTACTTTACATGAGTATTTTCCATTTTCTGCCACTTTATACTTCTACTCCACTACAAATAGAGGATTAAAATTGTGCTATTTACACACCTGCGATTGTTTGATAACTTTAAATACTTTATATATAGAAAATATAATCAACAAATAAATTATCATGTCATTTTTAGGGTTAATCTGCCAACTAGAAATTCACAAGCTGACCTTCACTATCTGCAACATTAAAATGAATCTACTTGGGTGGGCTGCATGAACTGTGTGTGTGTGTGTGTGTGTGTGTGTGTGTGTGTGTGTGTGTGTGTGTGTGTGTGTGTGTGTGTGTGTGTGTGTGTGTGTGTGTGTGTGTGTGTGTGTGTGTGTGTGTGTGTGTGTGTGTGTGTGTGTGTGTGTGTGTGGTGTGTGTGTGTGTGTGTGTGTGTGTGTGTGTGTGTGTGTGTGTGTGTGTGTGTGTGTGTGTGTGTGTGTGTGTGTGGTGTGTGTGTGTGTGTGTGTGTGTGTGTGTGTGTGTGTGTGTGTGTGTGTGTGTGTGTGTGTGTGTGTGTGTGTGTGTGTGTGTGTGTGTGTGTGTGTGTGTGTGTGTGTGTGTGTCCGGTTTGCTGGCAGGTTTATGGGAGTTTCCAAATCTCTTGCTGGAGGAGAAGAGCTCTGATCTGAAACAGAGGAGGGCGCTGTGTGCTCAGATCAGCGGGAAACTGGGAACCCATCTGACAGAAAACATGTTCCAGTATGTGGGAGAGGTACGCCTGAAGTACACCACTTATACATATTTATTATTGAATGCAAATAAAGTATTTCTGCAGCTCTGTAACAACCCTTTGATGGGTCATTGGCTGTCTGCAGGTGGTTCACATCTTCTCCCACATCCACCAGACATACGTGGTCCACAGTGTGTGTTTGAAGGATGCTGACACACACACTCACACTGAAAACGCTCGGTGGCTCAGCCGGTCCGCCCTGCAGGAAGCTGCTGTGTCCACAGGAGTGAAAAAGGTTTGTAATTTGTTTACACAGTTTGTGTGTTCAGCCCCACTGTGTAACTGATAGAGATGTTTTTCTGGTGTGTAAATTGTTTTTCTGTTACAAGGATTTCAGTGATTTTAACTGAAATGTTCCCCCGATATCATGCTGCTATTTGGAGCTGCAGTTAGTAAAAAAAAACGTCTTAACCAGTAAATGGACATCTTGCCTTGTATTGTTATTGCTATCCTGGCTCCAAAATGGTGGAATGAGCTCCCCATTGACATCAGGACAGCAGATAGCTTACACATCTTCCGGCGCAGACTGAAAACTCATCTCTTTCGACTCCACTTCGAGCGATAGAATTACTAACAAAGCACTTATATACTAATAAAGGACTGGCTTATCTAAAGCCAGTTGAGTAGCACTTGAAATGTTTGGCTCTATGAAACCTGATGTACTTATATGATTCTGTTTTCTTCAAGTTTGTATCTTCTTGGTCGAATGTACTTATTGTAAGTCGCTTTGGATAAAAGCGTCAGCTAAATGTAATGTAATGTATTGTGATTATTACAGTGAGTTTCGGAAATGTAAAGGGAAGTTGTAGTTGTTGCGTTTGTTTCAGGAAGTTGTCACGGCATGTGTCCAGTGTCCACATCTATGTGCACTCTGAATAAATGCGATAAACATCAACGTTTACTCTCCTGCAGATTGTGAAGCTTTATGATTCTGTGGACGGTCAAAAAGAACAAAACTCTAAGGTAAGTAAACGTCTGTATATATAATTTATCACAAATGATCTTATTCTATAATCCTAGATTCCACCTTTATCGTTTTGTTTCTACTGGTCTCACTCAGGATGGGAAGAGGCAGAGGCACACCGGCACAAAGAATGACAAGAAACCAAATTCCTCCAGAAAAGCCAAAGTGAGCTCAGCTACCAGCGGCGGCAGACAGCTCTCTCTCAGCTCCTTCCTCAACAAGGTCAAAGACGAACCTTGAGGGGTTTGAGTGTCAAAGTCCTCCATGGTGCCTTATCAGGAAACATGTGCGATTTTAATGTCAACGCATCAGCACTACAGTGTGTTGCCATATTGGTTTCATTATGGTCCTATCACTGGGATTGAAATACAAAATGCCATCATGTTTTTTAAACTTTAAAAGGTTTATGTTCCTGAAGGGACTTTATTTTTATCGACTTCTTTATAGATAATGTTTTTATCAATATATTGTGAATAGTCCTCGTGTTTTTCCAACAGTACGTAAGTTCACTGTCATGTTTATTATTGCAATAAAAAAGATTTCATGTCCAACAAAGGCACATAAACTGTTCATCTTCTGATTGCTTTTATATTTTTGTCATTGATAAAATAAATCAAAAACAAATCTGTTGTCTTTTTGTATAATGATGCATTTCTTTTTACAGAAGAATGTCCATATCTACATTAATCATTTGGTGGACAAGAGTGATTTTTTTAAAATCAGCAATTATGCAATTCTGAATACTAATCCAATCATATTATTCTTCATAATGAGTACTTTCACATTACGAACTCATGGTATTTGATGGTAATACTTTCATACTAAATTTGATGGTAATACTTTCATACTATATTTGATGGTAATACTTGCATACTCTTACTTGAGTATCTTGCAGGGATGCAAACTTGTCACCTTTCGGCGAAATTCGCCGTTTTTAATCCAAAATAGGTCGTGTGTGTGATTCATGTAGATCTGCAATAAAAATGTTTTTGGGGTATTGGGGGGGGGTCTGAGACCCGGAGTAATCTGCGGCCGTTATGATGGTCTAGCTTCAGCAGCTACATTACCTACGGGTGCGTTCGTTAATATTAACTATGTGGTCCGGAGTCACTGTGGCACAGACTGGACCGCTGGTGAACAGCTGTTAGAACGGGCCGTTCAGGTGTTCGGAGCAGAGCTCCCTGTCGGAGCGGCAGAGCGTGATGTGCATTGAAAAGTGTTTCTGTCGCAATTTATCGTTGAGCTGGCTAACTAGCATACATTGTCACTATCTGCTAACGTTAGCTTTAGCCTTCGTTTTCTAATAGTTTTTTTCATAGGCTATAAACAGAGGTGGTATAAGTATAGATCTTGTTCTTGAGTAAAAGTAGAAGCACTCAGATCTTGTACTTGTCTTGATTAAAAGTAGAAGTACTCAGATATTGTACTAGAGTAAAAGTAGAAGTACTCAGATCTTGTACTAGAGTAAAAGTAGAAGTACTCAAATCTTGTACTTGAGTAAAAGTACAAGTACTCAGGTTTGAGTCAAAGTAGAAGTACCAGAGTGTAGGAACAATCCTGCAATCAATATGTTCCTCAAATAAAAGTATTATCATCAAAATATAGTAAGTAGCGACAGTAAAAGTAGAAGTACTCAGATCTTGTACTTGAGTAAAAGTAGAAGTACTCAGGTCTTGTACTTGAGTAAAAGTACCAGAGTGTAGGAATACTCTGTTACAGTAAAAGTCCTGCATTCAAAATGTTCCTCAAGTGAAAGTAGAAAAGTATTCTCATCAAAATATAGTGAAAGTAGCGACAGTAAAAGTAGTCGTTGTGCAGATTGGTCCATTTCAGAATAATATACATGATATGTTTTATAATGATTGATCATGAAAGTGTTCTCAAAGCTGGTAGGTGCAGCTAGTTTGAATGACTTTGTATACTGCAGGGTAGCTTGTGACTTTACTCCAGGTGGAACTATAGTCTGATTTAACACTTGGTTATATTTCACATCATTCATCCACATCTGTAAAGTAACTAAAGGGATTAAATACATGTAGGAGAAGTGCACCATTTACCTCTGAACTGTAGAGGAGAAGAAGAACAAAGTAGCAAAACATTGAAATACTTAAATAAAGTACAAGTATCTCAAAATTGTACCCAAGTACAGTACTTGAGTTTATGAACTTAGTTATTTTACACCAGTGGCTATACAGATAGAAAGACTAAGCCTTGCACAAAGGCATGAAAATACATTTTCAAAATGCTCAACAGTGCTGCCAAAATGATAAACTGACTGCTACACAATTAAAATAAATGCTTTTATATATTTCTATTAGATGTGACTCTTTGGCGTTTCTGTTATTACTAACTGCTGCTTTAGTTGTTCTGACTGCTACAATCCTGTTATTCCTCATTTTAAAGCCGATATTCCGTGGGGTCGGGGGGGCTCGGATGCTTGCCACCTTTTTCATACCTGATGAGTTTGCATCCCTGATCTTGTAAATCAGTATTTCTTTGGTAAAGTCTTGGTTCTTCTACTTGAGTAAATTATCTGAGTACTTCTTCCATCACTTTATATACAAATAAAAAGTAAATAAATAATTTAATAAATAAAAAGTCACAGTGTATGTCGGAAAAATCAAAGTCAAAAAGTAATATAGTAAAGTATGTCATAAAAGGTCATAGTAAAGTTTATCATAAAAACAAGTTGTAAAAGATTCATTGTATAGCCTGTCAGTACAAAAGTGTCATAGTATTGTATTCTATACAAAACGTAATACCAAAGGTCATTCATAAGTAACCTATGTAAAGTATAACATAAAAAGTTCTTTAAAAAAGTGCTTGTTGTTCATGAAAAATGTTTGTTTTTCACCAGACAATAATAATGCTTCTACTACTACTACTTATAATAATAATAATGATTAAATGAAATAATAATAATAAACATAATGAAAGGGAACAGCGCCCCCTGCTGTGCTGATGGTGTAACAACCGAGTGTTTTTGTGGCGGGAAATCATGATAAATGAGGAAAAACCGGAAGTGGTTCAAGTCTTGCCAGCACTGTTCTCCGCTGTCTTTTACGGTTTAATTGATTGTGTTGCTGTGATTTGTATTTGCAGAGGTGTGTGTGGAGCTTCGTCTGTCACTCATTCATCGCAGGTGTGCAGGCTGAACTTTGCTAACACTCACCGGCAGACAGCGGCAAAGGTTCTGCAACGTGCTCCCTGAAGTTTCATATTGAAAAACTGCGAGGTGTGCAGCAGGGAGCTTTACCGTTATATGTTACCGATGTTATAGTCTTATTTTAATCATTAACTTGTTTTATGTTCCAGATGGCTTCTGCATGGCAAAGTGCCCTGTCCCTGCACCAGAGCATAGTAGACAATGGAGGTATGAGGATTTGTGTTATTATCTAAAAGCTACAGTTAATTTTTCTCTGGGTTTCCAGCAAACGAAAATAATTTCTCTTAAGTTGTCGAAGAGATTCCCAGTTTACACAACAAGGCTGTCTCTATACGTGTGAGTGCGCGTGTGTTGCAGATGCTCAGCTTGTCTTCACAATGACTTCTTTGTGGCATGTTACATGACAATCCCACTTATTTAACGTTATTATCTTGTAGCTTGTAACTCCTGTATGTTGTGGACATACAGGAATAGGATTGACAGGGCATATAATGTATTGTCAGATGAATACTCCCTCTAATGTTCCTCAAGTGCTCACTTATAAATGTGTCACTTTGAAAAGAATATACACACAACAGGTTCTCTGAGCTCAATTCAAACAAGACACACCTGTACAAAACTGGCTTTCCTGTACAGATTAAAAGGGCCCCATTATGCTAGGTCAGGTTCATGTTTGTAATTTGTGTCTCTATTGTGACTTGTTGACATGTCCTCTTTTCACATTCTGTCTGCTTAGAGATGTCCCGCCCCTTAGTTTATCATGTAGAATATATTTGAGTACTAGCAAATAGAAGCATGGGTACTTAGATATATTAACCTTTGCAGACCATTTACATGCACACAAACATTATAACACACTACAGGAAAGGAAACAAATCCCGAAAAGCATTATAGGGCTTCTTTATTTATTTGCTAAATGGTCCTTTCTTGTGTTTTAGACAAGAGGACAGACCTGTGGCTGCTGGTCTACTCCCCGGTCCCCGTGGCCATCATCTTCCTGCTGTACCTGTGTGTGGTGTGGGCCGGCCCTCGTCTAATGAAACACAGAGAGCCCCTCGACCTCAAAGGCATCCTCATCGTCTACAACTTCTCCATGGTCGGCCTGTCGGGATACATGTTCTATGAGGTGCGTTGAGGTCAATCATGAGCACAGTGGTGATGGAAAATACATTTCTGTTCTTTGATATAAAGGGTGATCCTGCTAGTGTTTAATGTGAAGTTATAGTATGAATATTTCCCAGTTCCTGGTCACATCCTGGCTCTCGAACTACAGCTACCTCTGCCAGCCGGTAGATTACAGCAACAGCCCTCTGGCAGTGAGGGTAAGGAAGTGTCTCCATACACACATTCACTCATTTTAATGTGTACGCACTACGCAGACGTTTAATCTTTCAAAAGCTAGATATGGAACATCATTTACAGACAGCTGACTTTTGTTCAATTTGAAAGATAAAACATGCATTTACCTTTTTCTCAAAGTTAAACATATCGCACCTTTCTCCATTGTTTCCTTCCTCCAGATGGCCAAAGTGTGCTGGTGGTTCTTCTTCTCTAAGGTCATAGAGCTCAGTGACACGGTGGGTATTAAAAAAAGGAAGAAGTTTCTGCTATCAATTCAGAAGTCAGAGTTGAAATGATGAAACATCTAATCTCTGTGAGCAGCTCTTCTTCATCCTGAGGAAGAAGAACAGCCAGCTGACCTTCCTCCACATTTACCACCACGCTACCATGGTCTTCAACTGGTGGTCCGGAGTCAAGTATTTGGCTGGAGGACAATGTAAGTCAACAGCTGTAAATAAATATATAAACAGATATTTGTATGACTTGGTGAAGGGACATTTTAAAGAGCAGTAGTGATATTCTATATTGGTATTATCATTTACAATTCTAATGAAAAGATAAACACTTAAAAAAGCATAAAATGTGTAATGAAGCCAAATCCTGTTATATCTTATTCTTGTGTATAAAAACACATACATGAACCATCCTGTTGCCCTGGGTGACATATTCCTGTATAAGCATTGTAGTCTACTTTGAATTAATCCCACATTACCGGTAACGGATAGCCGTAAATGTGTATTATTCCACAGGCAATCAGAAAGTATTTAACAAAAAATAATTTCTCTGTGACTCCTAAAGATTATTATTTATGTTCTAGTAGCGTAATGCTGTCTGGTCTATTGTATAGATGATTTTACCATGGTGTATATTAAAAGCTCAATTAATGGAGCCGATTACTGAAAGTAATATAGAGATACAATAAGTATAATGATACAGGGGTCACGGTTCAACATATTGCAATAAACTGCAATACTGCAAGCACATTTTAAAAATAAAATAATCTGAAGTACACACTTGCTTAAAATCTGAGTAAAACACTATTATAAATTCATAACAGTTACCACAGATCCTGTAACATCCAACATCCTATCATACTGTATATTTCTTTCTGCAATCTGAGCCAGTCTGCTACATGTCTTTGCATCCAAACCGTTAATGAAGTTTTTAAAAACTTTTTTTTTATCCATGAGGTATCTCAAAACATAACAACATGATACAAAATGAATTTATATTTATTTACATCCCTCACACTGTCTAATGCTCTATACATAAACGGTAACCTTTTTATCTTATTGCATCTATCTACGCGTGTCATAAACATTCTTAACATACCTAACTTAATTGCTATCAGTCGGATCATTTCTCTATAAGTTTGAAACATTTTTACTGACTAAAATGAATGAATGAAACCCATTTCTTACTGCCGCTCTGAATGCATCCCTGTTTTCCTCCCGCAGCGTTCTTCATCGGCCTGGTCAACACCTTCGTCCACGTGGTGATGTACTCCTACTACGGCCTGGCTGCCGTCGGCCCTCACATGCAGAAGTACCTGTGGTGGAAGAGATACCTGACGTCCCTGCAGCTCGTGAGTAATCTCTGATCTGAATGAGAGGAATGTGACTGTGAGCTAATCTGATCTGAACTTTTCCCCTCCAACAGGTGCAGTTCGTGCTGTTCCTCCTGCACACCGGCTACAACCTGTTCGCAGACTGCGACTTCCCCGACGCCATGAACATGGTGGTGTTCGGCTACTGCGTCTCCCTCATCGTCCTCTTCAGTAACTTCTATTATCAGAGCTACCTCAGCAAGAAGAAGCAGAAATGAGACGCAGTGGTGAGGTATTGTAAGGATGTTTATCCTGTGTCTGCAATACTCACTTATCTCCACTAGACAGAACAACACACTGACATTTTCCTCATGGTGCTCACAATTTGATTTCTTTATATTGAGAAATGACTGACATTGAAATGATTGCTACAAACTAAATATATACTTGAAAATGCAATAGGTTGGTTTCTTCACACTGTTGAAGAAATAAAGAGAGACGGATAGTTAAGCTATACGGTCACACTTGATCGTTTACTTTATACCGACATGTTCAACTAATATGAAGCATTTTGTATGTGTTTTCTATACATTTTCAACAGGACTAGTGTGAAGTCAAGTATATGGCTAGACCTGTGCATGTTTAATTTACTCCATTTTGGGCCAGTGTTTACAGTGGAGGTCAGTGGATGTGTCTATAACTTGAATTCCTGCATTTTGAATGTTTTCTGTAATGGTCCCAGTTCTGTGCTCTCAAAGTGTACTGCGGTGTCATGTGACATGGTTAAGCTGCATTTGAGGCAAATAATGGGGGACTGCTCTATTGTAATAAATTCAACAATATAACATTGCTATTTTAACATTTTTCTTGGTTACTCCTAAGTTGTTTTATGCTAATTCAGTCAACACCTTGCTGAGGCAGTGGTTTGTATTACTTTGTTAAACCGGCTGCATCCCATTACGAGCAAAAAGCATCAAATGTAGGTCTAAAGGAAAACGTGGCAACATACATTGTTTTTCTCAAGTAATGCTTATAATATATTTTTAAATATCATAATATATTTTTTGGGGTCACTTTGCAACATCTGAAAAGAGACTACAGATCATAAAAGGCCTCTTGGCTAACCGGCGCAATTGAAGCATTTTTTTAATGTGCGCTGTACCTGTCGACTAAAATAATAAATAAGCACAATTCTAACAGCCTTTTTTTTATATAAAATATTTATTTAATTTGATTTGAGAAGAGACAATGCAGATTCATTAACATGAGCGCTCGAGTCCATCATGTGAACGTGCCAGATTTAGCCAAACAGGCTAGTTTTCATATGCAGTCTCTGGCAGGTTGATGGCATTAAAAGAAACATTCAAGAGCACACAAGCATGAGCAGGAATAAAACACACGAGCACAATTGACTCACGATTGCACTACATACAAAGCACATATGCCCGATTCTAACTTCACAAGCATTTGGAGAGTAAGACACTTAACCAGGTTAATAAGTAACTGCAATATTCTTAGACAAACATACACTTGACATCTTTACTGGTACATTCTCCTCTGCTCTGATTCTCTCTCTCTCTCTCTCTCTCTCTCTCTCTCCTCTCTCTCTCTCTCTCTCTCTCTCTCTCTCTCTCTCTCTCTCTCTCTCTCTCTCTCCTCTCTCTCTCTCTCTCTCGGTCACACACTATGCTTTATAAGAAATGCATCACAACCTAAAACCATAGGATTTCAACTGCATGTTTGAAAATACATTTACAGGAAAATATGAATCAAGAGAAATATAACTGACACCATAAATGTGATATTTCAGATCTCCTCCTGATCAAAGATTGATTGAGGAAGTAGATCAGAGCTGAAATATGTCCACAAAAGTCATGTGACCACTTTTAAATTTGTCTTTATATTGAGCAATGACACACTTTGAAATGACTGCTGTAAATAACTGTACAAAGTATAATGCAGTAGGCTGGATTCTTCACATTATTGCAGAGTTGAGGAGTTCCAACCAGAAAAGAGATTCCTCCTAAACAACAGAATACAGAAATGCAAAGACTTTCTTTCCCACAGCTATAACAAGATTGCATTGTGAGATTATTTTATACATTTCAGTTGTGTGATTTTAAATGTCGCCTGCCTCCTCCCCATCCATCCACCTCCTTTCATCATATCCAGTGCCAGGAGAGTTAATCCAAAAACCTCATCACATCTCCTCATCAAATCCAGATCTTCAGCATCATCACCAGTGTCTAGAGCCCGGGGGGTTCCCTATATGCTCACGGCTGCATTTCCCCCTTTAGATACGATTTCAGGATCGGGCTCAGACACGAGGAGAGCTGGAGCTTTGATGGCAAACACTGACGGTATATTTGGAGCTTCGGCCTCTGACAGAGAGTTGCCCGGTCATAAACTGGTAACATCAACAATATAGGGCAGCCCCTCCTTATGGGAGATAACGGCTGGTCAGCTGCGTCAGAGGGCGAAAGATGACATTCAGGGGAAATTATTCCCCAACAGTATACATGTGCTAATGCGTTGGCTTCAAAAGAGACACACATGTCTATGATCTATGTACAGAGGTGAGATGTTTTGTTATTATAATCTTTTTGTTGCATTTTGTATTATTATTATTATTTATTGCCCAAGGTGCAGTCAAAACAGTTCGGTTTTTAGTGTAGTACAAAATAGGTATTAGTTTTTACTGCATACTATACTGGTACTTAAAAAAAAAAATCTTATTAAATGTATACTTTTACTTTTTCTAATTCACAATTATGACAATAATAATAATAGTTATTTTTGTAATTATTCTAACTCATTATAATTTGTGTTTTTTATTTATTTTTTGTATTTTATTATTATACTTTTTGTTTAATGGCCAAATTGCAGACGAAACAGTTGTTTATTCAGGCTGGTGGACAAGAGGGTGTTTTGTTGTTTGTTTGTTATATAATAAGTGTATTAATATGCATGATATAATCTGCTACGCAACAAATGCAAAGTGAAATCCCCAAACGGAAAGTGGGTCAGTTTTCTGCGGGAAACAGCGCCACCTGCTGTGTGGCAACCATAACAACAGAATGAACTCGTAAAAGAAAAAGAAAAAAACCGAAGCGGAGACAATCAGGAAGTGATTCAAATCGGCTTCGTACTTTTTTCCACTCTCTTGCATTTGGAGCTAGGCGAGTGCTGCGAGTTTCTGTCGGATCAGTTCGGACTCTCCGCGTGTTTCTGGGGCCGGAGCTCGCTCAAACTCTCCATTCATTGAGAGCAGGAAGACATCTGGATCAGCTGCTGCGCCTGGAGCTGAAGTTTGCCGACTCTTATCCTCCATAAAGTGACATCAGGTGGTCCCTCCATTCCGCCGGTTTAACGCCCCGTTGCAAGGTGTGTATCCTCAGTGAGTGGATGTGTGTTTAAATGCTTCAGATTGGGGTGTTTTTGAAATGTTTTGTAATGATTTACTTTATTTTGGAGTATAGATGGCCTCTGCGTGGCAAAGCGTCCTGTCTGTTCACCAGAAGATGGTGGAACATGGAGGTATGTAGTGATATCTTTTCCCACATAAAGACTACAGTTCAGTAAAAACAACAAGCCTGTGTTCATTGTGTGTGTCTCTGTGTGTCTGTGTGTGTGTGTGTGTGGGAGTTTGGAGCTGCAAATGTGTTTCCCTGTTTGTCCTCACAATGACTGCTTTGTGGCTTGTCACACGGTTAGCCACCAAGACCAAAAACGGCCTGTTTGTATTTTTACGTTTCCAGTTTGCTTTATCGGATTGTTGTTCATTCACTAAAACACACACACACACACACACACACACACACACACACACACACACACACACACACACACACACACACACACACACACACACACACACACACACACACACACACACACACACACACACACACACACACACAGAGGTCATCTGAGCTGACCTGGAAGAAGAATTGTCATTTCCTGTGGAAACTCAAATAAATCAATGCAGCTCTTTCAACTTGTAACTATAATCAGACATGTGTCCAGTAGCATTGTATATCATGATATGTTGACTTGGTTAACATGTCCATACACACAACTGGTCATCTGAGTTGAGAAAGACACACTTCCTGTGCAGATGACGTAAAAATCAGTACTGGAATTTGGTCAAATTATAAGGCAGCTCCTGAAACCTCAATAATAGTTCTGTAACTCTTGCTAGAGGTGTATCCTGTGATATATGTATTTGAAATAGTGGTCTATGTGTGTGAATACTAGTCTACCTGAGCAGGTGGCACCTTGTATAGCAGCCTCTGCCTCTGAATGAATGGGTGAGTTGTTTAAGGAAAAGCGATTAGCGGGGTTGTAAAGACTGTAAAAACAGTGCACTGTAAAAATGGACACCCATTTACCATGTTCCAGATAAGCGTACGGATGCGTGGCTGCTGGTCTACTCCCCGGTCCCCGTGGCCATCATCTTCCTGCTGTACCTGTGTGTGGTGTGGGCCGGCCCCCGTCTGATGAAACACAGAGAGCCCCTCGACCTCAAAGGCATCCTCATCGTCTACAACTTCTCCATGGTCGGCCTGTCGGGATACATGTTCTATGAGGTGCGTTTGACCCGCTTTGTGTACTGTTTTAGAAAATAAACCAGGTCGCTCATGAGGAAAGAGATCATGGAAAATAAATGTCTGTTCTTTGATATAAATGGTGATCTTAGTGTTTAATGTGAAGTTATTGTATGGATATATGGATAAACCAGGTCACTCCTGATCATGGAAATAGTGGAAATGTCTGTTATATAATATATCTGGTGATCTCTGTGGTGTTAAATGTCATTTAATGTTGTGAATATTTCCCAGTTCCTGGTCACATCCTGGCTCTCGAACTACAGCTACCTCTGTCAGCCGGTAGATTACAGCAACAGCCCGCTGGCAGTGAGGGTAAGGAAGGTTCTAATGCACACATTCACTCATTTTAATGTGTACGCACACGTTTAATCTTTCACAATCTACACGTGGAACGTCCTTTTATAGTAAGATAATCCTACAGTGTGAATAATGAGTTAAACTCAGCTATTTCTGTTGTTTCCTTCCTCCAGATGGCCAGAGCCTGCTGGTGGTTCTTCTTCTCAAAGGTCATAGAGCTCAGTGACACGGTGCGTATTTAAATCACATATTTTGTATTGTATCATAAGTAAAATAAAGAATTGAAATGACTCAAATTCTCCATCTTTGAGCAGCTCTTCTTCATCCTGAGGAAGAAGAACCGGCAGCTGACGTTCCTCCACACTTTCCACCACGGACCCCTGATGTTCAACTGGTGGGCGGGAATCAAGTTTGTGGCTGGAGGACAATGTAAGTCAACTTTTTTTATTCATTTACTGTCAATGACATTTACAAAACACTTGTGGATGTGGATAGATCTGGTGATATTCTATATGTTACTTACCATCAAACAAAGCCACAAAAAGACCAAAACCAACAAGAAATGATCCTTTAACAAGCATTAGCCTTAAAACAGTACCTATATGTGCCGAAAAACAACACTTTAAATGTTGCTATTCAAGGCCTAAAAATGTGTTAAAATGTCTGAATTTTTTTTTACATGAAGGTCAGGTTCTGCCAGGTCTGTATTGTTCAGTGTCTCCTTTAATCTCCGGCCCCCGGGGGCCTCTGAGCTGTTTCCCGTCGTCACTTTGTGTCTGGTTCTAGCAGACTGGTTTCATCGTGGCACATGTAGTTTCGTCACCCTGTGTTAAAGGACATGTGCTGTGACATACTATGGCTTTTTAAATGACTTTTCAACGACCATTTTGAGGTAATATACTACGGCTCTTTCTTGACCTGCTGCACTATGAGTACTTGTTTTAGTTATTGCTGTGCATTTTTTGAATTTCCGCTCTTGAGGAATGTAAACACCGGCCTAAAACAAAGAGGCGCTCCTCCCTCTTCCTGCAGCGGTCACTCTCTTCGGGGGGGGCCTTAGAGCCGCTGCACTTCAAACAGTCCCACACTCACATCAAGTGAAGATGACTGTACCGTTGTCCGGTTAATATCTACATTTTATCACCTGCTAGATACTTTTTTATTATATTTTTTATGAACGACGATACTATCACTTTCTTTTCTTACTACATACTAATCTGTGACTTTTTTTAAATTATATTTTTATGAATGACTATATATTATGACTTTTTACTACATCCTATACTGTGAGCTTTTTAATTATATATTCATACTGTGACTTATTTAATTACCTTTTTATGAAATGCAACAAAATAGGACTATTTTACTAGATACTAAACTATCACTTTTTTATTACGTACTATACTATGACCTTTTAACTATATTTTTTATTAAAATACTTTTTACAATGACTTTTTTTACTACATACTGTACCGAAACCTTTTAAAATAATATATTTTTAATTTACTACTATATACTATGATTTTTTTTTTTACTACATGCGTACTGTGACTTTGTTTTATTATATATCTTTGTATTAAATACTATTACTTTTTATACTCAACTTTATTTATCCCAAATTGGGAATTTATTTAAATAGATATGAGATGGAATAAGCTCCGCCCCTAGCAGGCAGTGATTCAGGGGGGTATCCTCCTGATAAGATGGACTCCATGCCCTCTGACAGTGTGTCAGCTCTGTCCTGTTGTCCTCTGGAGAGATGGTTTCAGGCCAAATCCACTCTCAGGGTCAAACTAAGACTCAGCTGAGAGACTGTGAAGCCCCGGGCCGTCTGCCTGCATGAGACTAAACAGCTGAGATGGCTCCAACTAAACTGATGGACCATATTGAAAATCTATATCCTACACTTTGGCATTTTCACTGCGTAACACACTGTGACAATTAACCTATGTGTTTTATTAAATACTGTATACTATGATCTTTTACTACATACTATACTGTGACATTTTTAATTATATTTGTATTAAACACTATTTATTATGACTTTTTTTCCCGACATACTCAGGAAAAAAATCAGTACTTCTGTATATACTATGATTTATTTTTTCAAACAATACTGTGACTTTTTTATAATTTTGAATGCAATACTTCCGAGGGGTGGTTCCGAGGAAAAATCCAGTTTGAAGAAGTGTGTCTTTGAGCGCTTGTTTGGAGGATGATAGGGTGGTTGATGGTCTGATGTGTATCAGGAGGGGGTTCCAGAGGGACGATGCACCCCAGGTCCAGAGCTTAGTCCTGGGGTCTTTAGGGCGTTTGCATCTGAGGTGGATGAGGTCAGAGAGTTAGGGAGGTGCCAGGTTGTTTAGGGCTTTGAAGGTGGTGAGTGATATTACGTTTTTATGACCTACTGAACAAAGGTTTTTGAATTTATTTTTTATATTAGATTCACAACTTTTTAAGAATTAATTACATTTGTGACACACTATACTATTACATTTTTAAATATGCCTTTTCTATGGCATACTTTAGTATTACGTTTTATATAAAAAATGACCTTTTCCGATGCACCGGAATTTTTATAATAATAATTATATTATAATAATTATATGTATAGCACCTTTCATGCACAAAGTGCTTTACAGAAAACATAACGACAATATTAAAATAATATTAACATTAATACACAACAAGATAAAACATCTAGTGATAATATGTTAAAATAAAACAATTTAAAAAAAAATGTAAAATCAAAGCAAAACGGTTTGCTTTTAGAACTTCTTGTGACCTACTAAATTGTGACCCTTTTTTATGATGCGTTTGCACGTCATATGTTATGACTGTGACATACCAAACTATGACTTCACATTCCTTTGTTATCTGCTCTACAGGGTTCGCCAACACGAGGCTGGGCTCTTACTCAGAGTATTTAAATTCTTTGTTCTACGCTGTTGTACTAGAAATTGTTGGAAACTCATCCCCAGAATCAGAAACAGGTTTATTGCCAAGTAGGTTTACACATATTAAGAATGTGCTGTGGTGTGCTTACAATAGCCATCAGTTCAACAAGTGTCTACATGGACACAGAAAGAGGAATACGTTGTAGAAAGCAGTAGTAACAAGTAGTACAATTAAAGAGAATATGTTCACAACATGTAAATACCAAATATTAAGTACAGTAAAAATATGACAACAAATATAATTAAAAGTGGAGGTAGAAGTGAACAGAAATTGGCAAAATATTCTGAGGGTTGTGCGGGGTACTCATTATTAAAATGAACAAGATTACTGTTACTGAGGAACTTTGTCCTACATAGACATTATATTATATTTTAAAAACTGAAAAATAGTCACCAACAAATACATTTTTCCACTCATGATTGAGAAACAAAGGCCAAAAACCACAGTTACAATATGTTGAATTCATAAGTTATCTAGAAACTATATACATGCAATCTAACAGACATGATTCTGGTATTTTTATGGGATTTATAAAATTACTACCAACAATAGTAATACACGTCAAACTATGGGTTGTGTCGACGGGAACGCCCTCAGCTTTACACTTCAATAAGGAATGCTGATGCATATATAATTATTCCTTATTCCCAAAGAAATCAGTCATTCAGGTTTAACCCAGGAGCTTTAGACGGAAGGAGGGAGAGGTGTGTGTGGTCTGAGGGTGTCCATGGTGTACATTGTAAAGCCCCCTGAGGCAAATTCATAATGGATGATTTAAAATAGATTTTTAATGCGTTTATAATATTGTTTAAAATGGAAATGAATACAAAATAAAAATACCTTTTTTTATGAATATAAAGGAACAAAGTTATGTCTCTAGTTCTTTTTAAGATAATTTATTTTCCATCCATCCCAGTGTTCAAATGCTATCTGATCCCTTGCATAGATGTGTCTCATTAACAAGTTAGTTATACTGTGTTAACAATGGGACTGAAGTATACTCTTGAGCCAAATGTAACTCTAACAAAAGATCTTGGCAACCTTTGGTTAGAAAGAAAGGTGCAACATAACACCGTTTCCTCACATGTTAAAACTTGTGCCGGTAGATTCTCAATTCACTCACAGATCTTATACGTGTGTTTGCCAATCCTTTATTTCAGGGCACAGCTTTTCTAGATACACATATTTTCAAACTCACTTACAGTACATGTACCATCATAAAACACATGCAGACATGTCCTTAGAATTAGACAAATGTTGGATTACTTTGGATTACATTTCAGTGTGGTTTTATAAAAAAAACTAAATAAATAAGGAACAACTATTTAGAGTTATTATAAGTGGCAACATGTAATCCTTCAACAGATGTTCTAATGGTTGCCTTTTACCAACCACCTGGGAATAAACAAAAACCTGATCATTTTCTTTGCAAAAAATGACACTTACATTTTATTAAGCCGACGCCTTTTTTCCAAAGTGACTTAAAACAATTGCAAGTAACCATAAAAATAGACAGCAAGAATGCAGGTATATTAAAGGGGCCATATTATACTCATGTTTAGGTTCATATTTGTATTTAGTGTCTCTACTGTGACATGTCTCCATGCTTTAATGTTCAAAAAGCTCTTTATTTTTCTCATACTGCCTGTACTCCTCTTTTCACCCTCTGTCTGAAACCAGAGCCCAGTCTGCTCTGATTGGTTAGCTGGCCGGCTCTGTTGTGATTGGTCAACCTCTACAATGTGTTGTAGCGCCAGCCAACACACAGTGCGAGTGTTACAAATTGATGTCCCTATGTTCCTGAAGTAAAAAAAAAAAAGTCCAATGGAGGACTTTAAGGCAGATGGAAGTGGGAGAGAAACTCACTCTTGAGGGAACTTCTGGATTTTAGCCTTTGCAGACCGTTTACATGCATCCTATACAAAACACTACAGGGGAGGGGAACCCCCAAAAAGCACAACAGGGCCACTTTTAGTAAAGGATTTGAGTTCTTCTTCCAACACTGGTCTTCAGTCTGCAGCAGAGGATGTGTAGACTTCCTGTTGTCCTTTAACTGTTATACCTCCAGGCCTCTCTGTTTGGGATTCCCTGACTTAAGCTTTCCTTTCTCTCCATGTTTTGATTCCCCGCAGCATTCTTCATCGGCCTGCTGAACACCTTTGTCCATGTGGTGATGTACTCTTACTACGGCCTGGCTGCCATCGGCCCTCACATGCAGAAGTACCTGTGGTGGAAGAAATACCTGACGTCTCTGCAGCTCGTGAGTAATCTCTGATCTGAATGAGAGGAATGTGACTGCTCTGACGATATGTTTGTGAGCTATCCGATCTGAACTTTACCCCACTTACAGGTGCAGTTTGTGCTGTTCCTCCTGCACTCAGGCTACAACCTGTTTGCAGACTGCGACTTCCCCGACTCGATGAACGCGTTGGTATTCGTCTACTGCGTCTCCCTCATGATCCTCTTCCTTAATTTCTATTATCAGAGCTATCATAACAAGAGGAAGCAGACATAAGAAGTGTAAGACACTGAGGCTTCATGAGCGCAGCTGACATAGTATGGTCAGCTTGAGGGATGGTTTCCTGCCTGCAGTACTCACTAGCGTCCACTAGAGGGAGCAACACGCCCACAGTCTGAGTGTTTTTGTCATGGTGCTCGTTAGCAAAGGTCAGACTTGAACATTGTATATTTGCCAGACGTGTACAACTAAATGTGGTTTGAGATTTTTGTTTTTGATATTGTCAATTATATGTTAAAAAAGATAAATGTCACGTGATCATTCAATTATTTATTCCTTAAATTGAGAAATGACAAACATTCAAATGATTGCTGTAAACAAACTGTACATTTTATACATATAATAATAATAATAAAGTAGGTGGGTTTTCTTCTGCATTATTGCAGATTTAATGAGTTCAAACCCTCCTGCAGAGATAAATCAAAAAAAGCAAAACACTTAATGACAAAATACAAACAAGTTTTTTTTCCACTGCTTAAAACACGGCAACATTTATATATATTCTAATGTACACTTCAGTCTGAGACAGATTGAAGGATGTAGATTAGAGAGCAAACACATGAAGAGGAGGGAGAGGACTTCAGTTGCTTTGTTGTGTTCGAAGTTAATATAATTACGCTGAAAAACCTGCTTGTGTACATGAGTTCTAGATGTGATTTAAGAATCGAAGAAATAAAGCATTTTTGTTCTGTAATCGACTGAAGGGCACATTTTAATTTTGTACATCTTGATTTTTAAGCTTCTTTGACTTTGCTAATAAAAGGACAGTTCTGTGTTACTTCTTTGACTTGTGTCATTCATACATTGGAAGAGCAAGACGCTGATCTTTGTTTTGTAAAATATGAATTACTGGAGAATCTGTCATGCTAAAATGATTCACTTAGGACAAGGAAACTATTGTTTGGTTAAACTCGTCACAACTGGAAGGAATATGCAACCTGTGACATGACGTCCTTCTTTAAAGGGTCACAAATCATAAAGGAAGGGGAACTATTTTGAGCCATTTTTCATCATTTAATTACTTCAGGTGAGAAGTTAATGACATCCTGCTGGTTACACATCCATCTGCAGCGTAGGATAGATCAAGGTATACATTGTTTAGATATTCAGAGTGACCCATATCTTAGTATGTTAAAAAAAGAGGAAACGGGAAGTAGAGAAGAGGGATCCAGCTGTGAGGACGAAGGAGTGTGTGGTGATGAAGCGTTTCTGCTCTAAGTCTCTGAGTAGACGGAGGACATGTGGCTCAGGCTGCGGTCGAAGTTTCCCACCTGGAAGAAAATGTTTTCCTCGGGGCTGGAGGAGAACTGACATCCTGCGCCGCCCTGGAGCTCCTGGGTCAGGTTGAAGCCTGAAGAAAGGAGATTAAGAGTAGTTTAACATTTGTATGAAAAGTATTCAGGCGACCTTTATGATAGGGTAAATTGTCCTGACCTGCAGTGCCGGTGTTGCTGGTGCTCATGTGGAAGCCGTTGTGCTGATGGGAGTTGTAGTTTTGAGAGTCTGCGGGGACGTGGACGCCTCCGACCGTCTGCTCCATCCTGTACGAGTCCCCAAAATGGAAGCAGTTCTGAAAGCTGCCCTGGTATTCTAGGAAACGAGATGTGGCACATTGAAAACCTCACTTTCTGTCACAAGAATGTTATCAAAGTCATAGTATGTTTTGTCATAAGAATGCAAACAAAAACAAGCCATAGGATGACTTCAAAAAAGCAAAGTAAAGTATAACATAGATAAGTCATAGTATAATATATTAGCAATGAATACCTAAACGCACTAAGGTGGTAAAAACAAGACAAATCTAAATTCCAACATCTTATTGTGGCCAAGTCAATTAAACATGCTAAGTCGACCTAGTTGCCTTCATAAGAGCATGATTATAAAATACATTTAAAGTCGTAATGTATGGCATAAGAAATTCCATTAAAATGTCTTTTAAAAAGTCTCAATGAAGTACGTCTCAAAATTGTCATAAATTCATGAAGCGGCTATGCCTTGACAGCGTGTCTCAAAAATATTAAAAGTCATTCAAACCAAAGTATAGCACATCTAACAAAGTCATAATACATGTCATATACAAAGTCATAGTATAGTATGTCAATGTGATCAAATGTGATAGTATAGTAAGTCATAGGACCTTGAATATCAAAAACTGCATTTGAGCCATTTAAAGCTTCCACAGGGACCCTGGGAGTGAAACAGGACTCAGAGCTGACAGACTGCCACCAGCGGGCGATGCTTTCTATAATCAGTCAGCATCCGCTCCATCTGGATGAAACTAAACGTTGATCTCAAATTATGACAATGCTATATTTGTGCTCCTGCTCGCAGCGCCAGCCCATAGTAAGTCCCATCGTCTCCGAGAGGACCGCAGGAGGCTCCATAATGGGGAGGCAGCTCTGCCTGGAGCGCTTTTACGCAACTCTGTGACCGCAGTGTGGTTTCAGAGACGTCCATGTGTAGATCTTTACAGGGAAAACAGTGTTTAAGGCATTAGGAAAAAGGCTCTGGAGTGACAGCTGAGCCGGCCATGTTGGGGCGCTGAGAGACAGCTGAAGACATGAGCCAGCGTTTTGTTGGCTAATTCAGCTCGGGGAAAAGGCTTCCGGCGTGTGGTTTCCCCCACTCTGCCTCTACGACTGTAATCTCCCTCTGTCCTGAAAACACTCAGACGGAGCAGCGAGAGACAACTTCCTCTCCTCAGGACTTTCATGTGGCTGCAGCAAGTGTTTGAAAAAGGACACAGGGGTGTTCTCATGTATATCCAAGTGATCTGGCACTAAGGAAGTTATATAAGAGCGGTACTCCGGCTACATGTTACAGGGGAACATTTCAGGATATTAAATTGAAACGGCAGTGAATATTTTCGCATCGAAGCCAAAACATATTTCCTGAAACAGGTTCCTTTCAGACAGATGTCTCAGTCTTACCGTCGTTGGCAGGCTGATGGTGGTGATAGTGAGAGTAGGGCTTGTGGTGAGGGTGGAGGTGCTGTTTCTCCAGAGGAGGAGGAGGCGTCCCTGTTGCCTTCATCCCTGGAGACAGGAGGGGACCCGACACCCTGCAGGACACACAGAGAGGGAGGGATATATTAAAACATCCAATCCTTTCTCGACAGTCTCAATCATTTCTGTATAAAATGCTGCAAAATGTTGACGTCCCAATCAACGCAGGAGCTACATGTTGGCCCGCTGACCACATCATCTGACAAGAAGAAGAAGAAAAAGGATGAGGAGGAAAAGAAGGATCAGAAGCAGAAGTAGAATTAGTAGAAGTAGAAGAAGACACATCCCAGGCTGTGGAAACTCACGCTCCCCATGTAATCGTCCAAATACCACATATTATGATCTTAAGTCAACAAACAGCAGAGGATGCACACACACACACACACACACACACACACACACACACACACACACACACACACACACACACACACACACACACACCACACACACACACACACACACACACACACACACACACACACACACACACACACACACACACACACACACACACACACACACACACACACACACACACACACACACACACACACACACACACACAAAATGGTGTTTAGATTCATGATTTTTGAGGAAAAAAACAAACTAAAATGACAAGTTTGTGACTTTTTGGACAGTGGGGGTTTCCACATCAGAGTGTTACAAATAAAGGTTTGTTCATGCCTTTTATTTATGTGTTTCATTTGATCCAACAATCTAAAAACACAATTGGAGATTCAATTTGAACGTGCAGATTCAAAATCGACTTTTTGCAGCATCTGAAACCAAGTCCTGCATGTTAGATGTATCATCTATCATGAAATGTATACAATGAACATAAGGTTTATTATTTAAAAAAGCAGATCAAGCTTATTAATCAACACAGAATGAATGTTTATTTGAACCATGCAAAAATGAAAACAGGTTGTATTTATATTGCGCTGTAGAGGAGGATTTTGTTACCTTCGTACAGAGCCAGGCTAGTAGTAACAATAAAGATATTGAATGTGCGTATTGCTTGCCTTTGTGAGATGATGGTGAATAGGTTACCCAGGAGCAGCAAACACCATGTCTTGTTTCTGTTCAGACACTTCAATGTTTACTGTGAAATTGAAAAAGTCCCCCGATTTAATCACTTAATGTAGCACTTTTGATATTAGCTAATCAAAACATAACTTTGGTTCATACTCAGACTGATGGCCAACAGACCTGCCTTTAAAAACTAAGCAGGTCAATCACCTCCCCAAATATTCAACAGCTACTTACTACCCTCTCATGACAGCACATCATGAATGCCAACACATAAACTGCTGCCGTGTTACTACGCGCCGCGCTGCTGTGGAGGAGGCATATGGTTTGCAGTAAGCACTATATATGAAGGTGATGACAGAGTGTTTCTGGAGGCGGTGGAGCCCCCAGCTGACGGCTCTCTGCTGGCCTGAGTGGAGCCCAATATATGACCTACTGCTCCGAATGAGGGGCGTCCCACCCGGCACTCAGGAGCTGGCAGTGGCTCTGTGGAGGTCATTCAGTGGAGAGTGGTTTATAAAGGGAAAAGGTAACCGAGGTCAAGAAGCTGCGACATTCACAAGTGGGGTATTTACTGACCTATTTGATGTCATAGCACAAAACGTGAAAATCTCTTAAGCTTGTTGGAACTACTGACCTTACTTCAGGCATAAAAAAAAAACGCTCACATTTTTTTTTTGACTTCGGAACAAGAGGACAGGAAGTGGTCAAAAGCGTATTAATTTCCGGGTTTTAGGACTCATTCCTACACCACTCTATAAAGACTTTACAAAGGTATATATTTGCAGCCAATATTTTTTTACAACTCAAGTAAAAGTATACTGTAACAGTCATGTTTTATATTGTGCTAATGCTTGTATTTGAAATATCTAAATGATTCCTACCAACAAGGGGGAGACTTTCCAAATCACACATTTCGCACGATTAATAATTCAGTATTTAGACGACAGGCTTTATGCCTTTGGGAGAAACAGCAGAGTAACACAAAGGTCCTACATTGAAGGTTTTCACTGCCTTCTACTCATTAACATGTTCATCTGGGTATCAAATGTAGGTGCTTAGCCGTATACGGACTGCACTTGACCTCCATGTCCATCTCCACAGAACTGAGGAAGTGTGTGTGGCACCTTGTTTGTCGAGCTGCGGAGAAGCTAGCTGTTAGCGACCGTAGCTAATCCATGGGTTGGCACCAGCCCAGTGCGTGGCCATGTGTTCCTGCAGAGTGCAGAATTCCCCCGGGAGCTGCTGTCAGCACAAACTCAGGAAACAGTTATACTGTTCATATTTTTACAAGCTGCCTCTATATGCAGCTAAAGTGAATCATAAGCTAATCACTGCCAGCTGCCTCTCGCAAGTATTAGCCTGCTAGCAACTCAGGCTCGAGGAATGAGGGGAATCTTTCATTTGCTACATTAATCTCTCCCTGATATTCATCTTCACTGACCATCCAGCACTTCTCCGCTTTTTCCAGCCAGCCCAACTCTCCTGTCTTACTGCAATGAGAGAGTGATTCGACCCCTGACCTTTTCCAAGGTACAGATGGAGGGGATTTTAAGGTGAGGGTATCAGATAGATGGACTTCATTTAATAAATATTTAAAAGGTTTGGAGGTTAGGGAGGGTGTGGACAGATATGTAAAATACCCTTGTGTCCTGTCTTCTATAACAGATGGATGGGACCTTTATTGCTTGAAGAAATGCAACAGAAAGAGGATACAAAAATACTTTGAAACCTGGATTGTTTTTTCCCTGAAGCCACTCAAGTTCAGACAAAATGACTTGGACGTCGACTGCAACTATTGTCCAGAAATCTTTCTTCAAGTTGATGCTCTCTTGTGTTATAGAGGAGCTGCCCTCTGAGGCGTGATGGGATGGAAAGAAACAGGAAGATTCATGAGCAGTTCTGCCCTGCTCCTCGTTCATCTTCCTTCACCTGAGGCTAACTATCCCACCAGGGAGCAGGGATCAGACTCTGTCCTCCACAGATTACGTTCCCCACAAACACCCTCTGCCTCGCCTCTCATCTCTCGGATCATTAAGCCCCTCTGATAGATGGCGAGGGCTTCTTTGGCGCATATCGGTGGGAACACTTCTGGTTCTGGTTAGCGAGCTAAAGCTGTGCTTTGAGAGACAGACTGCAGCATCCTGGCTAAAGCTAAGCTAATGCTAAGCCATCCCTGCAGTCCCCAGTGTGGACAGCACAGGATATTTTTGGGGGCCCTGTTAGTCCCAGAAAGATAACTGCCCTAAACACAAACAATAGTCTTAATCACCGAATTTCACAGTAAATCATCTGAATCTTTGTCATGAGTTTGTGTAAACGGGCTAATTGAAGACTACATATTAACTACAGAGCAGACTGAGTGACTGACCACATTATGCCATGCTGTGAGATTGACACTGGTTTTCTGGATCACTGTCCAATGATAATGGCTGGAGGACAGACAGTGTAAAGTTACGAGCCGTGAACGTCCCCCTTCAGAGCGCCTTAATGTAGCTCTGTGCCGTCTCTGCCGCCACTCTAATTCAATTAGCCTGTGTCAATCACTGCTGAGGTATCAAACCACCTCAGACTAATATTTGCACAGGGGCTCTAATATCAATATGCAGGTAGAGCCTGTAGACCAGGGGTGTCAAACTCAAGGCCCGGGGGCCAAATCCGGCCCGCGACTTCATTTTCTGTGGCCCCGCAAGAGCTCTGAAATAATATAATATGTTTATTATACGATTACATGGCGATGTACCGAGGCACGTTGCCCATAAACTACATGTCCCACAATGCATCTCTCATTTGACTTTTTTCTCAGAATTTGACTTTTTTTTGAAAATGTTACTTTTTTCTCCAGAATTTGGCTTTTCTTTTAAAATCATATTGTGACATTCTCACTGAAGAGACTTGCAATTATTTGCCCTAGACTTCTGCTTCCAGACGTAGTTAATTATGAAGTTATTATTACCCTATCAGGGAGGTGTTCCAGGCACGTCCAGCTGGGAAGAGACCAAGGGGTAGACCTAGGACCAGGTGGAGGGATTATATCTCTTCGCTGGCCTGGGAGCGCCTTGGGATCCCCCAGTCAGAGCTGGTTGATGTCGCCAGGGAAAAGAAAGTTTGGGGCTCTCTGCTGGAACTGCTACCCCCGCGAGCCGACCACGGATAAGCGGAAGAAGATGGATGGATGGATGGTAATAATCCAATGCAGAGGCAATAATGTAATATAATACATTATTTTATATATATTCAATATTTATATATGTATTTTTATATAATCTTAAAGTTACAACCGGCCCTTTGAGTGCAACCATAATGCTAATGTGGCCCTAGATGAAATTGAGTTTGACACCCCTGCTGTAGACTCTCCCCTCCGTAATTATATAACCACATATGGCTGAGGCAGTGAATGACAACATTTACCACCCATCTCTCTGTGCATGAGTCGCCATGGTCCAACAGCCATCTCTATCAGAGGCCCTACACACACACACAAACACACACTCTAACTCTCACTTGTGCCATGCCGATTGCCAAATTTATTTAAACTGGCATATTTTAATATTAGCTCCAGAAAAATGACACTGGTATTTACAAAGTAAAAGGAGTCTAAATGGCCCATTTGAGCCAGAGTAAACACATTTAGCTATGAGGTCAGAGGCTGCCACACTAGAGGCGGGTTGGTTTGATAATTTTGTCAAAATGTTTAATGTCCTGCTAAACCGTTTGGGAAAAACAAGTGCTGCGCTGATATTGACTTTGGCAGCAGCCTGTATACTCAAGGCTTAAAACATGTAAATCAAATGCTCCATCTTCAGGCAAATGTGAGTCGACGTTTCATGCCCGGCTGCTCGTACTGTGTGATGAACAGATATGGCACTCCAGTGTGTGTGTGTGTGCGTTTATGACTGCTTTCAGGTCAAACATCTTGATTTAATGAAATCTGTAAATTTGGAAATTGCTGCAACTTTAATGCGTTGTCATCACGTCACAAGTATGTAGGAGCTTAAGGTTGGGAAGAAACACGGAAGATTACTTACATGGCATAATAGGCACTTAAGTTACATTAAGGGAAAAAAGGCGATTCTCACTGCTAACCACTCACATTCTCTCACACACACACACAGAGTTCAGATGTTCCTGATCAAGCACCTGAAGGAACCAAATGACATCTCACATCCAATAATGTCACCCTGCCTGTGTGATCGCTGTTACAGCATCCACTGCTCAGGTCCTTTTCACTTTCCATTTCTCTCCTCACGCTGGTAATTGTGCATGCCGCAGAGAAAGAGGCAGTGAAACCACGAGGTAATTTCACCAGCGTTCCTCCTGCTTTTAAGGCTTGAAACAACACATCACCTTCCAGATGCTTCCAGGCCGACCTGGCGTCTCTGAGTGGTTTCTACGCGTCTCTCTGCTGTGTTTGTGCTGGAAGTGGAGCAGTCTGCTGTGCCTCACACCCCAATCACATGCAGTCATGTGTGTTTCCTGGATTACTATATGTAAACTCCTCTCACTCACACACACACAAGTGCAAATGCATTTAGAGTAAGAGAGCCATCAAACCTCATTCTGTCATACGTCTACGCTGTATACACTCCCATAAAAGTGTATATACACACACAGACACCGGGCCCACAGAGTTAAAAGAAAGCGTGTTTATGTAACATGATAACTTTTGTAACACATGGGTTTATGATGCCTGATTTCATCCATTCTTTTTCAATGTTATTAAACTGTAAAATATTTGCTATCCTTTTGTACCTCCCTGGTTTTCAGCACATTGTTTAGTGCAGTACAGTCTCCTGACGACACTTAGGCTCTGTGACTCGGCTCCTGGGGGAAATCATCCGCACTAATAGGAAACATGCTGTGCCTCTTATACAACACACACACACACACACACACACACACACACACACACACACACACACACACACACACACACACACACACACACACACACACACACACACACACACACACACACACACACACACACACACACACACACACACACACACACACACACACACACACACACACACACACACACACACACACACGTTGTTTCCTGGAGCAAGACATGCTGCAAGTTTTCCATGCCTAAATGTGAGTTCTGTAAATATATTAAAGTGCATATATTCCTGTATTCTTCTTACAGTCAATTTATTGTTCTTTAAAATTTGGAATGAAATCTAAAACAGAACTTATTTTCTTCTTGGCCAACGATTTAGATATCATGTCCCACTTAATAAATCATATTCAATCATCTTCCTTTAAAAAGTATCCCCACTTGAACTTATTTTCACAAATATCTGACAGATGCATAATCTAAGATGGCAAACTTAAATGCAGTTCATTGCTTGTATTTATCATATAATCACTCAACAAATAATGTCTGTTAAACATGATTACCACTAGATTAGTACAATTTCTATTGTTTGGTAATGTTTTCTGCTGATGTGTTGATTTATGTCATTTGAGGATAAAACAGCTCATTGCATAAACACCAAACGATGATCTTTTCACAGTTCCCGCCTATTAAAGTGTGAATCATGTACGGCCAAGTGGTTTGGTCATAGTGCTGATGCTGTCGTATCCAGGGGAGATGGGGGACCTTACGAACACCTCATCCAGTGCCAGAAGTAGAGCTGGTGATGTGTCACAGCGACCCGGAGGTGACCAGCACACCCCCTCTCCCCACGAGGGATGTCTCAGGGGTCGTGGAGTTGAGTTTGTTTCCAGTAAAACGAGGGGCTTAACCTAATATGATCTAAGAGGGTTTGCCCTGCGGATCTGCCTTGATCCAGGATGATAAATAGGTGGAAAACAATGGAAACGCAGCGGGTCAAAATCAGTGTGAGGATCATGAAACCATCAGCGTGAGTAATGGAGGAAGAAAGGCCAACTGAATTGTGTGTTTATAAGGACACTTATATGTTAACGTGTGAAGATATAAATGTTAATAGTAATTGGAATGGATCATTCAAATTAATTCATCATTCAATTATCACACATGTCCTGAGTAAAATGCGTGACTCTAGGGCACCTTAGCACTGCCCAAGAAGTGACCTGGCACCTTTAAAAACACCAGTCCACACTTTGCGCTTCCGTTTTCAGGGACTTCAGCCGGCGATCGTCCGATTCCAAGTCCTACCATTTGTAATGAAACCTTTTTTTGGGGCTTTTTCTAAGCGAAGGTGTTGCTCCATTGACTGTTTTTGGTAACTTCTGCTAGAAAAGTTTGATATCACGTGACTGCACTGCACCACACGTTTTTACAGCAGCTGCCAATCAAAAGAAGCTTAGTCATGATTTTTTTTTTTGTTTAAATGAAAGACAATGTATAAAATGTGCCAGGTGAATAACTTTATGATAAAAAAAAGGGTTCAAAAGTAGTTTTTTCTGCTGCAAGAAGCAATTAATTGGATGATTCGACCATTATAATCTCTTTAAAGGTTACCTGTTATGCAAAATCCACTTGTTCATGTCTTTTCTACATCAACATGTACATCACCCTCTGTGTGAAGAGATTCTGAAAGTTTCAGGAAAAAAGATTCGCTCAATTTTTGTCCAGATCCATTTATATAACAACCTGTCTAAAAATGAGCTGATCAGATTTTGGCCACTTTATGATGTCATAACGAGTTTTTGGCTTGTGTAACCATTAGCCAATCAGCAACCAAGGTAACCCCCCCCCCACCTTATCACCTGAATCTCCTCCTAGAGCACCATTGTGTTCTTTCTAACCAAATACCTCTCAGAGGGGCGTGGGGAGGGGCTCCTTATTTTCATCTAAAGTAACAGACAGAGAATCAGCACTTTGGAAACAGGGCTGAAACAGAGGGGATTATGGGTAATGCTGCAATGATCTGTTTGGTGTTTGGAGCCAAACACTTCAGAGACATGTTTGTATATATCTGAGACCTATAATATATTGATGAAAAACAGTACAATAGGGGTCCTTTAAAACTCTTCACTCCAAAATGTCCGGGCAGTGTACATTTTTTCATTTGTCTTAACGTGACATGACTGATTTTTTATTCAGGAAACACCAGGGTGCATCCATGTAACACGACCACAGACAGAAGACTCACCCGTCTCTGGGGTCCATGGCTGCCAGCGGGGACAGGTGGTGGGGGCTGCCGAGGTCCCGGTCCAGGCGGTGCTGTCTGGAGGGGAGGTCAGCGGAGGGGACGGAGGAGGGGTTGGGGGGGAGGAGCTCCACTGAGGCGCTGTGGTGGGGGGTGCTGGAGCCAGCGTACAGACCTGAAAGACAAACAAAGCTAATTCAGTAAATGTGTCAAATAAACTCAAGGCCTCTGCTCTCCATCTTTGCTTTGAGCAAATTAAAAGACATTTCATGGCAATGGAATTTTTGTTTTCACAATGTTGAATGTTCTGTGTTTGCCCTGTTTGTAATTTAGGGTACATTGATTGTACTGCCATGGGGTTGGCCTTGTTTGTCCTTTCAGCTGTTTGTGCTTATGACACAATAATAAACTAAAATGTTACATGTGTTTGAGCGGTGACTTTGAACCGTAGGGTATTTAAAGAGGGTAAATAGGGTTACTGTACGCCCTCACGGTTGTGCGAGTACATGACTATCCATATATCTGTAGTATGTATGCGTGTGTATGTTTGAATGTACATTACACTGTATCTGTATAATTTTGTTTTTACATGAATACTAAGAAAATAATTAACAGAACAGTTGGATTTGCTGACTGATATTTGATGAATGTTTTATTGACAGCGGTCTGTGGGGGGCATCATTTTCTACTGAAGCTGGCAGCCGCATGTCGCCAACTTTTCTACTGTTTCAAGCTGTGGACTCCTATTAAACACAGATTCGTTTTTCCTGTTCAGAAACAATGGAAACCAGGGGCTGCAACTAATAATATTTGTTATATGAATGATAGCTTTTTGTTCCTAGGGAAGAATTCTACCAAAGTTCCCCAAGCCAGAGGTGCTGAATTAAAATGTTTTGTTTTGTCTGACCAACAGCCAAAATCCAAAAGATACATTTTCCAGTAATAAGTATTTATATTTTCATTTGGGGGGCAGCTAGTATTTCGACTTATGTATGGTGGACAGTTGCAAATGCATATTAACAGCCCAAAACCTTTACATTCGGAGCAAGTTAAAAAATGAGACAAATAAAAAAACACAAATGTGCCAAAACACATGCAGATGAAGAAACAAATTCACCAACTTGACGAAACGTCTTGTTTACTAATAAACAAAACGCTGCAAGAAGCTGAAAACACAACCGAAGCGGCGACACTAAAAAGTGATGCTCACAGCTGGGACAGGAGCGCTTTTCGATGTTCGGGGATAACACATTTGCATGGGTTTTTGTATATGCATCGTTTTTTGAAGTGTTTTTGTCAGTCATCGTACTTATGTGCTGTATTGTAAAGTGTGACAATTTGTTACCACGTTGTGCTTTTGTCTGGCAGTTTTTGCAGCTGCACTTTCACACATCTGTCAACAAAAAGTTTCCTCTTGTTTAATCGGAAAATGCTGCTCCAGAGAGAGACCTGTGACAAATCGCAGTGAAATACAGAATCCAAGTCTTTAAGTTGGGAGAAGTTACACTGGATCTTCACTCATTCCACCAGCACAATAAATCTACTCTTGCCATCTTCCGCTCCGTTTAACATATGATTTCTTTCCCAGGATCCACCCGCTGACTGTTGGGGCAGTTAACCAGTGACGAGAGGGGAAGACAGGAGGAGATGAAAGGAGGGGAAAAGATCGGCGCTCCTGGTTTTACCGTTTCCAGGCGCAGCTGTTCTCGAGTGGAAGCATGCTGGGGCCTGATCTGACAGCACTCTGAAATGGTTACAAGCTTGATTCATTACCCCCAAATCATCAATCACAGTCCTTAAATGTTTTCCCCTTTAGCCCCAACATCTGCTATCAGACCGGCAAAATAATGGCTGTGATTGCCTCAATTTCATCGCTGGTTCCTTCTGGTGGGAGAGGAGTGAGAGGATGTGATGGCACTCTTTACGGGTTATAGAGGATTATGTTTTTGAAGATGTTGGATTCTGAAATGCTTCTAGTCAAACTCAGGAAGAAAGTCCTGAGTTTGAGGGATATGGAGAGGGATGTCAGCCATTCAGAGTAATAGCAGGAGCATGTAAACATCTGCACTAAAACTTTGATGAGTCCTTCCTCTGGTTAATCAGGGAACTCTAATTATGCTCCATAAAACAGAGAGGGGCTTCTCGTAAGTCCTGCTGCAGCCATGTGAACAAGAGCAGACTTATGACAGGAAAACAAGTTTAACTCTGACTGGAAGCATGACTCATTTTCTGCTCCACAAGTGTTAATGATGGGATGGCTGCCCACCTTGCCCAACCTCTTCCATGCATCCTATTGGCCCTGTAACAAAGGGGGAACTCATGAAAATGGAGATCCTGAATGCCAACCTGCAACGTCTTTGCTGGCCTTGAATAACACCGCATCCCTGAACGCTTTGGCATCGACGCACGAGCAAAGTCCTCGGGGCTTTAAAGCATTTTAAACAAGGGAGTAAGCAACATCCACTCAGAAACAGAGGGAGGCAGAGGGGAAAAAAGCCAAGATGCAGAGGTCCAGTGGACATTCAAGGAGAAGTTGAGCGTTCACAGTCGCCAACATAGTGTTGAGTTCCAGCAACAATAACAGAGAGCAACGGGGAGCCTGGATGGGATACAGGCAGAAAACAAGGACAGATGTGAACTGAGGGACTCTGTCTTGTCTTTAAGATAGTTAACATCTATTTATCTCTCTCTCTTGTTCCCACTCCGGAGTTGTGTTGACGCGTTGTCACGGTCAAATTCATCAATTAGAAAAATGGATGTTTAAGCGGCCACATGTGACGAATAAAAGTTTCCGTTTGTGGCGGGTTGTAATGGTTTTTGCAGCCTTTGCATGACAGGATGACAGGTTAACATGATATGGTTATGAATTACAAACCAAGCAAACAAAAGTGCCAGGTTGTTACTTCTGAACTAAAATAACCAAGAGGAGTCCAACAGCTAAAATGTTGATATAAAATGTGTATAGGCAATTATAGATGAATTACAGTGTGTTTTTGTTAGAATAAAGGTGCGGTAAGTATGGTTTTTACTGCCTGAGCACAAAATTACCATAATACATCTGCAGGAATGTTGACATGGCTGCTGATGACCACCAATGACTCGCTGATTGCTTTGCCAGGTGTTGGGATATCTGGCGCTCAGACCTCGTCTAATGGCTTAGTTTTTAGTTTGGAAGAAAATCCCTTGGCCATCGATATTTTGAGACAAGGATTGTGCTACTGCCGGTATTATATGACATGTTGTATTCAAGCCAAAAAGCTTAGATAGAGGTGTTCATGCCCTAGTTAGCTTACATTTTAGCATAATTCATATTGAAAATGTATCGATTTGAATATGTTACAAGACAATAGAGTTTGTCTTAAAGGTGGGGTAGGTAACTTTGGAGAAACCAGCTCGAGTGCGCTAGAATTTGAAAATACACAGCCGGAACAAATCTGCCACTTCCTTACAGAGCCCCTCCTCCAACACACACGAACGCGCACATGACCAATGAGGGCACGAGGTAAGTTTGTGCACAGATGGAAGGCTGACAGGCAAGTAGGCCATCCAGTTATTTTAGCCAGGGCCGGCTCAGATGATTGGTCGTGCTTTTTACAGTACTACGGCTTCCACAGATGAAAGTTTTTGTTTGTTGTCAAAGCACTTAAGATATTCATTGCTATCGAGATGTTAAGAGCATTCCATGGAATATAACAAAAAGTGTATCTCGAGCCGGTTTCTCAAACTTACCTACCCCACCTTTAAGTGCCTGCACCTACATTATAACAATAAATGATTTAAATGACAGAAAGAAAGCATTACAATTGCTAACATAGACCAACTCCATATTACCAGGGATTTAAGTAATTGGCAGCAAAAGTAATGATAGCTTTCTTAACTGCAACTAAGAAATATTCCCCATGAAAAATCTTGTGTGTTTCTTTACTTCAACCAGAGGAAAAGTAAGCAGTTACAAAGACGTGAAATATGTTGGAGAATCTTCGGACATGTTTTGGGAAATTTCAGAAATCAACAGGGTTTTGAAGAATGTAGAGTGCTTGAACAAAAACTAAGATACAAAACCTCTCTGAGTTACATTGTACTTCATCTCTATAATAGGGCATAGCAATTGAGAGAAAATAATACAACTTCTTTACTACTTTTAGTATTTAATTGTTGTAAATGTTTTGCCAATAAAGAAGTAAGAGGGAAAAAACACAAGGAAGGACCGCAGAGAGACACTAGAGACCTGAGTTGTTGCTGCTGACTAAGTATTAGATTACTTAATGCCTTCATAAGGGGGTGGTTATGTATTCAAGGTGTTTGATTACGGAGCAGCTTCCTGTGTGCACCTGTGAAGATGTCTTGGCCCAGTCCGGGAGAACGGCCATCTTTGTTGTAGAGGTGCTGCGAGGAGGTGGAGCTGTGGAGGTGCTGCATGGACAGACAGTCACTCAGGACGTCCTGCTCCAGGTGAGGACAGGGCCGCAGCTGTCAATCACAAACAGGAGAAAAAACAGAAAATGTTTACAAGAAATGGTGAGTCATTTATACAGAACTCCATCTGGTTTGTAAGATTACACAACCGAAGAACAAAACAGTTATTCTCTATTTTTGGCTGGGTGTGTTTTCTTTTAAATGAAATAACTTGATTGTATTGTTGATTTGAAACAGTAACATATTACATTGTCAGTCAGGGGCGCCCAGAGGAGAAGTCATGCTGCTTTTTGAGTCATGCTTTGGCCTTGGTCTTTGTGGTTAAGTGATCAATGTACCAACTCAGAGCCAATACAAGATTGCTTCTGTTTCTTTCCCTGCCAACAGTAATGTGGGGCAACCGAAGACACATTGCAGCTGGAGAGCCGATCACACGCCACACAGAAGAAACCGTAAACCTAACTTGTCTCAGAAATGAGACATCTGCCTTATAAATCAGCGTAACAGCTGAACTCTGTATTATACATCAGTGGATTCCTCTGTAATAAAACATTACAGTTGCTGAGGTACACACCAGCACTGTACCAGCAACCACATTTTCCCTTTACTCAGGAGACCCACCTTCAAAGAACCTGTAAATTCAACACAGGGGTCGGTAAGTATGTAGAAAGAAAGACGTTTTTTAACCAATCTACTAAAGGTCTCAATCGCTACTGCTTTGGCTCCAATATCAAATCATGTTTTATGGAGAAAAGTGGATCTTAGACTGTGTAAAGTCTGGTTTCTGAAATGATGTTGTGAAGCTCAATGTGAGTCGCCATCTTTGCATTAACAAAACCCGGCTAATCATCAGGTTGGGGTTATTTATTTGGTAGATTTGGTTTGAAGAAAAGGGATCCATTTTGATAGACATTCTAAAACAACACAGACAACAGAGATATCTCTAAAAAAGGATCCCCTGTCACCCCGTCACATCTAAAATAATTTAAACACCACTAGTACAAACATGATCAATCCAGGGAGTTAATAAACAAATAAATAGGCATTGCTACCCTAGCATCTGTGTCACACTGCTAAACGTTTCCATGTTAACCTCCGGCCCAAAGGAATAAGCTTTAACACTGTGTGCAGAGGGTGAGAGTCATCTTCCAATATACTGTAGAGCAGGATAAGCGCAGTTTCTGTCCTGAGGTGAAATGGGGGAGCAGCTAGTGGCTAATGCACCCACCTGCCACTCAAAGCACCCACCAATGTAGATGGACAAAATGTACTCTCCATTAAAGGCAGCTCATTGTGGAATAGCCTCCCAACTGAGATACGGGATGGTCCCACTCTCAATAGTTTTAAAGGTCAACTCAAAGAATGGTTGAGAAACAAACAGACGTGCAATCACCGCTAAATGCACTTTAACACGGGGGTATCTCCTCTTGCACTTTACATGTCGTTGCTGCTATATTGTGCTGCCATGTCATAAATACTTGTGTATGCTGCTCTTGCTCTTTTTGCATATCATGTATTTTGTTTTTGCTATGTTCGTAAAATGTAAACTTCTTTTAAATGTTTTATGTGAGGGACTGCGGATGGAAATTAGCTCAAAGCTAAATCTGGGACGCTTGACACATTTTTCATGTTTTAAGTGTTCATCACTGTGCATTGTCCCTGCCAAATAAACGATTAAATGAATTAAATAAAATGTTTCCACATTACTTTAAGGCTGAGTAAAACTTATAGAGGACATATTGTGTTTATTTTCAGGTTCATATCTGTATGTTGTGCTTCTACTGTGACATGTCTACATGCTTTAATGCAGTGGTTCTCAACTGGTCAGGCCTCGGGACCCACTTTTTCCTTAGTCAATAGATCGCGACCCGAAATTTTGAACCACTCAAATCTATTCAACAAAAAATCGTGCAGTAAAATATACTCTTTTCAGCATACAATATTAATGAAAGTGAAGTACAGTGCATATATCCCTTATATCCCTTCACAGAACTAAAGTATGCCTTGCCTTGCCTTAATGAGAAGATGGAATCAAAGCTGAACTGCATAACATAAAAAGGCCCATGTGCTGAAAACCCAACCACAGAAGGGGGGTCTGGGGGGATTCTCCCCCAGGAGATTTTTAGAAATACTAACATATAAACTACGCATTCTGGTACACTCCGAGAAGAAAATAAATAAATCTATTACTACCCGACATATTAATAATATTTTATGCCATTGTTTAAACAACCCGTTGCTGCAGATACACGCTTTACAACATCAGGAAGATACGTCCCCAGCTGACACAGAAAGCGAGCAGGTTCTGGTCCAGGCTCTCGTCATCTCACGCCTGGACTACTGCAACTCCCTCCTGGCTGGTCTACCTGCATGTGCCATCCGACCTCTGCAGCTCACCCAGAATGCAGCGGCTCGTCTGGTCTTCAACCTTCCTAAATTCTCCCTCACCACTCCGCTCCTCCGCTCCCTTCACTGGCTTCCGGTAACTGCTAGAATCCACTTCAAGACACTGGTACTTGCTTACCGTGCTGCGAGTGGATCTGGCCCTTCGTACATCCAGGACATGGTTAAACCGTACACCCCAGCGCGTGCACTACGCTCTGCATCAGCCAAACGACTCGCTGCACCCTCGCTGCGAGGGGGACCCAAGTTCCCATCGGCGAAAACACGTGGGTTTGCTGTCCTGGCTCCAGGATGGTGGAATGAGCTCCCCATTGACATCAGGACAGCAGATAGCTTACATACCTTCCGGCGCAAACTGAAAACTCATCTCTTTCGACTCCACTTCGAGCGATAGAACTATTAACAAAGCACTTAATAAAGGACTGGCTTATCTAAAGCCAGTTGAGTAGCACTTGAAATGTTTGGCTCTATGAAACCTGATGTACTTATATGATTCTGTTTTCTTCAAGGTTGTATTTTGTTGGTCGAACGCACTTATTGTAAGTCGCTTTGGATAAAAGCGTCAGCTAAATGTAATGTAATGTTTGTTTTTCACTTTGTTCTGACAGCTTGCTGCTCCTCACAGAGAGAAGAGCAAAGAGGAGAGAGTCTGTGTGGCTTACTTTAAATTGTGGGTAAGGGTAGATAGCCCCCATTGTTCTGTGACCTGTCAATCATCAAACTGGGGGTCATATTTCATTATGTGTTCATTTTTATCTGAAGTTGTACCCATGGATGTATAAAGAATAGTTCTACCGCAAAGTTATTCTCCGTGGGGACTTCCGGCAACAATCTTGATTCTGATTGGCCAGAAGACTCGGAAAAACATCAGCAAAGATGTTTTATTGAGAAGATGATCACTACGTGACAGAAGTTTTCAAAACCGTTCATGGTCTCCGGTACTTCCAGTCCAACGCCTACTGCATGCACAGCGTTAGAAAATCGGGCCTTCAAAATAAAAGTTCAACATACTTTTTTATGATGCTTTGATATTAACCTTTTCGAATAATACATATTTTTGTATCGTAGTAGTAACTGATCTATGATGCTGAGAGGCATAACAATCTTCAGCATTAGTATGAGTGTTTTTTTTTAACGACAGGTTTTCAGTTACAGAAGACAAGGTCGACATTGTTCAAGGTTTATTCTTCATCATCATCTCAACCCTATCGGTCTCGGTATCTCTGTGTCTCATAGTCTGTCCATCCTTCCACAAATCCAGCCTTTGTTATTTCATGAAAATCAAACCCACATTTTGATTCTGTGGTCGGAAACGTTTTTCTGCACCATCTCAACAATCTACTCTACCCTCAGCGATGAGCCAAGTGGACGAATAACAACGATATCTGTGCGTGACTTCACATCCTTTAAGACCTTCTGCCTCTCCGCCAGTAATATCACAGATGATTGATTGAGTTGTACAGCTGGCATCCTCCACGTTATGACACTGAAATACTGTATGTCAATAAATATGTATGTGCTTGTCCTCCAGGGGATCCTTATGAGTTTTCTTGCTAAACATTCATCACATGTAATTGGGGCTCGGTTCTCCACACTGCGAGACTCCGAACAGATTTTTCTCTTTCTTCTGGAGAGTGAAGTAAGAGCGTTTGTTTGACATTTGCCCATAACATCTGCTCACTGGGGTTTTCAGCTGTACAGCTTTTTAACAATGCTACGAGCAAACATGTGTTTTCCCTTTACAGCAAAGAAACACATCATCCAGCCTGCCACTATCCAGCCCCTTCCACAACAATGAGCCCATTCTCTGGTATTTACCCACTTCCAGTCAGAGGAAGGGTGGGCTTTTGACCATGAACACGATGAAATGTGGTCTAACCTGATCTATTGTTGACTAAACGATTCTCAGAGACACCCCTCCGCTGTCCTAACCCTCAATTAAACCAACTTGATTGATCCGTGGATAATGTACATCAGAACAGGACAGATTACCTCGACTAGTCTGTTTGTAAAACCTGTATTCCTACCTTATTGACTTGAATTAAGACATGCTAAAAAGCTCTGTGGTTGCCATTGTTTTCTCACTTGGAAAATATATCTGAGATATGACCAGTGATGGAATGGTGCATTCTGTGGCTATTAGTCCTGACGGCTGGAAATACTAGTTGTGGTGTTGTCATTGTCTACATTGTCGCTGTATTGTATAATTATTTGTCTGTTTTACTTTGATCTTTTTCTTTTCTTTTCCTTTCGATGCTTCTTTTTATGGCTCTGTTGTTTAAGTGTGGGCATGAGGGAGTGGGGGGTGTAGTGAGTGTACTGTGATACTACAATGTAAATGAAATGGTATTGATTATTGTACACTCTAATGAAATAGAGTTTTAGCATTATAATTGTGTCTTTATATAGAACTTAATCCCTTTATCCTTCCCTCTCTTGTACATTACTTGTTAGACACTTTCATCCAAAGCGACTTACATACTCAATACTGTGGGCAATCCCCACACAACGACATGCTGACTGCAGTGGGACTCAAACTTGCTATCCTCTGATTCGAAGATCAGCGCATTAACCCACTGCGCCACACGCCTCCCCGTGTAGAAGCTGTCTTACCTTTCTACGCACCTGTTGCTCTTTGGCCGAGTGGATCTTGACATGTTTGCGTAGAGAGCTGGGATCTGTGTAGCGCTTGGTACAGCCGGGGATCTGACATGCGTATGGTTTCTACAGGAAGAAACACAGTATTTCACTTTAGTTTTAAGTTTGCATACTAAGCATTTTAAATCACTTTTAGGTGAGGGAAAATACACAAGTTTGACAGTTATTTGAGAAGATATAATGGATATTGGGGAAATTAGGCTGAGAGGAAGCTAAATGTATACACAATAAGTACATATGTTAACGTGAAGGCAAAGTGAAAGACCTACCTTTCAGCTGACAGAATGTGAAGTAAGAAGAAGAGGAAAAAACGCATGAAAAAGAAAGAAGAAAAGATCTGTTATAAAATATTTTCAAAAACAAATTATCTCCCTAAATTCAGAGCCTCCATCTTTTTTTTTTTTAATTGCTGTTGCGGGTCTTCCCTGCTTTTCTTGTCCCATTGTATTAGTGAAGCCTCTCTTTGTGATAAAACAACCTCAATGCAACATAATAAATATAAATACTCAACAATGCTCGTCCACTTTTCAGTAAATTATAAAGAAATGGTTAGTTATTTATTTGCATGAATACGAATTTAAGACTGTGATAAAATTATGAACCAAATAAGGATTGGTCTTGTTATTTTATACCTTCATTATGTACTGTATGTAAGTGTGCATACTGACATACAGACAGGGTGTCAGGAGGGAAATGTCGGCAGATTAGGCTAACAGGCATCTGTAGAATTACTTAATTGTCATGGAGTTTCCTCATCATTTCACATTCTTCCCATTGACCAAGCAAATACAGCATGTAGCTCGCTGATTGAGGGATTTTCCCCCTCACAGCAATTTCTCTCTTCATCGTCAGGAATATATGTTGGCCATTAAAGTGTAAGAGGATACGCAGCTTTATTAGCTCGGCCGCCATTACTCGACCTTCTCTGTAAATAAGCCGTTGTTATTGCAAGGCGCTTATAATGCCACTCATCTCCGCCATGTTTGTTTTGTCAAGCAACAAAACAGCATAGAACCTTGAGTAGGAAAAAAGAAAAAGAAAATACAAGCACAACTTCTGTGACGAAAAAATACCATTAAAGCTTGAAAATGATTTCCCTGCAAAGTGTTTCTGGCAGGGTCGGCCGCTGGCACAGTGACGGCCTCAGCGGGGCGTTCATGTGAAGCCATAAGCTTCAGGGTCCCAGATTAGCTGTATCATTTATATCACACTGTGGAGAGATCGGGCGCTGGAAGAAAATCCTGGACTGATAGAAAAACAAAAGTCTGCTTATGTAAAGGTTCTGAGTGATTTACTATTACGTACTGAAAGCATCGGTGTCTGGCCCATACAGGAAAACACAGGGGGAGAATATTCTGGAAATGTAAATAATATAAAAATACCGTTAAGATGGGAATCTATATCATTGAGAGTGTTGCAGAAGCTGGTGAATTAGAGTGTTTTATTGATTAAAACTGATATTTATTCTAGCTGGCTTTTTTAGTACTCGGTCATATAGTCTGAATCCACCTCTCTGACCTCAGTTAAAATAAAAGGGAAAACTATTTTTACAATCACGTTAAAAATAAAACCCCTTTACAAGAAATCGACTGTTGCGGTACAATAGTAACCTGCAACAATTCTTAAGGCTCTGAAAAGCGTGTTTTGAGAAACATATTTTTCTTCATATTGTTAATTATCCCGTGAAGAATTTTCCATTTATATTTAGTCTGCATTGAAGAGTTGTTAGGAGGTTTGTTTAGTCACTGAAATATATAAATGGGATCGTATTTAGGGGTTATAGGTAGAGGATGTTGTGTCTCAGAGAATCTTTTTAACGTTGGGTGCGCTAATAATAGTGAATTAATTTGACTTTATATTGCTCCATAGACCATCTGCTATGTGCATTGTTTTGAATGAGTGATCACAAATGAACTAAAACTAAATGCTTACAGTATAAATTACTGTGAAGTTGTCTGAATTGGGGGAATGAATACTAATGTACGTTATTTGAGCAAAATAAGCCATTTATTCCTAAACTGTGTTCGCCTGCGGATGGTGATAAAGTGAGGTATTGGTGATAAAGTGAGGTATTGGTGATAAAGTGAGGTATTGGTGATAAAGTGAGGTATTGGTGATAAAGTGAGGTATTGGTGATAAAGTGAGGTATTGGTGATAAAGTGAGGTATTGGTGATAAAGTGAGGTGTTGGTGATAAAGTGAGGTATTGGTGATAAAGTGAGGTATTGGTGATAAAGTGAGGTATTGGTGATAAAGTGAGGTATTGGTGATAAAGTGAGGTATTAGTGGGTAACTGAGACATGACGAGTGGCAGCGATGGGTGACTCAATATTTCCCTTCCTTTAAACCGGTCAGAGAAACAGGCAAAGCTGTGTTTACAGAACTCAGCTCCAATCCAAGTCTGTTAGCGACTTGGCCTAAAGGAACTGATCAGAGTGTCAAATATCTCACTGACTGACAGCTAATTAAAGCTTTTCACTGTCAAGATGTGGGAATAGGCATTAAGTCTTTGAGAGAAGTGTGGTTTTTAATGTTCAACTTGGAGCAATAACGGCGTGAGCAGACACACACATTGACTGAATGGAAATCCGTTGATAGATTTATGAATACCTCACATTTTAATTTTGCACATAATCCAATCCCTAAATAGATTTGGTAGAAACTAAATATTTTATTCAACATGTTTAAATATTTAGAGTCCAAAATGTCATGCTGCTGTGTTTCCTTGACCTAAGCGACCACCCACACTATTTTCGGCAGAGCCAGGTTAAGCATTAATCTACTCTGGTGAAACATTGGGAGACTTGAGGGTATCTGACCGTGTCCAGGTGAGTGCGCTGATGCTTGGCGCGGTCGCTGGAGTTGCTGAAAGCTTTCTGGCAGCCGGGGTGCTGGCACAGGTACGGCTTCTCTCCTGTGTGGCTCCTCAGGTGGATCTTCAGGTTCTCCAGACGTGAAAACGCTTTGTTACAGCTCTCGAACTGTGGAGGAGGGGAGACAGCACATTAATATGACACAGGAATGCAAACATACACAAACACACACAACCACAGTGAGACATGTATGCCCAGAACCACACAAGTAAACAAACAAACGCCCACACGTACAGTATGCACACAGAGAAAAAAAATCAATCAGTGCATTTTCTGGTAAAATGTGGGCTCTGTATATGTACAAGTCTGTGAGTCAGAAAGAAGCTTTCCCACTCCTCCCTCAGTCCCTTAAACACTCTTACAGCTGGAGGAGTTCACTTTACACCACATATAAACCAGCTATGGAAAAGCAAGAGATGCTTAAGAACATGGGAGGTATAATTCCATCCCTCTTGAATTACGCAGCCAATCTAGGGTCCTTTGTTGAAAACCAGGTCCACTTGAAAGACAGAAGCGTGCGTGACAGTGCACCTGCCTCAAGGCGGCGTCTAAATTGCAGGGGGAAACTGGAGTGTGCTGTACAGCGGCGCTTAATGGGCTGTAATGCATAGCATGAGATAAGTGTTCGGCTGTGTATAGTGCCTCGGACTGACAAGTGACAGTGACTGTGAACAGGCTCGTATCAGACCCAGTTTGGCCCATTTGATCCGAACCACTCAGCCAATGAACACCACAGATTTGTTAACAAGTGAATGATTAATGAGGCGTCTCGCATGTCCACTCCTGCTCTTAAGCAGAAAACACGGCTGATTGGTTGATGAGGCGGATCATGTCAAGACCCCCTAGGGACTGCTGTGTAAAGAGTCACATCGTACATATGGGAAACTGGTATGGGAAGCATAGCTCAGCGTCACATCTACCTGAGGTTAATCTCATTAATGTTTTCAGGAGCAGCTGGACATCATTACACAGAGACTGTCACAGGGCACAATAGGAGCAAATTAAGAGCTCATGTTAGCATCCTTATTCTGCACAGCCACTTGCTTTTCACCCTATAAAGACTTCAGATGTATTATTTTATACAGGATTGCACAAAAGAGGATTTTTGTTATTTTGTTGAAATAACGCACCAAACATATTTATATTAAGTTTTATTATATTATTTGTATAGCTTGAACTTGTAATTTTCATAGTCACCAAGAATTGAGAAATACTAAAAACCATTCTGCCTTTATACAATATTTTGCCACACCCTTTTAGTGTCTTATGATTGGATTCAATTCAATTCAATTCAAAACCTTTATTTATACAGATAAAACCCATTGAGATCATAGACCTCTTTTACAATGGTGACCTGCTTCAATTAGTTCCAAACATTAATACAAACATGACAGAAAACAAAGGACATTCAAAATCGATTCAGTCGGGGTTTATTTCAGGATCTACTCCAGAGTGTGTCTAGCATAAGGGAGTTTTTATAATTGAAAAAGTCATAACTGAAATAAGTCAAATAAACAATTAATGATGTCAAACTTGCACAAATAAACACTTTTCTCTCACTTCTCAGTGACTTAAAGGATAACAAGTTCAAGTTACACGAGAAATAAAATATGGTATATAAGAAACTTTCTAATTTCAGAAATAAGAAGAAAATAGATGACACATCTTTGACTTTGACTTGACTAGATGTTATAGCCTAAAAAAAAACCTGGCTCATCTGAATGGCTGTATGTTAGACAAATGACCGGCAACCGATTGAGTTCATTCTGTCAAGCACCTGAACATGAGGTTGAAATCATGGAGCAACCGCGAGCCAGGAAGACTTACTGTCTGAAAGAAACATGGTGCAACTACTCCTACTACTCTCAACTCCTAAATTGTCCCTCAATGTCAGACTCAATCTCCTGAAATTACAGCTTCCTCTTAAATTTCCCTAAAACCAATTTCTTGCAAAAGGGCTTTGCTGACCGCAGTGAAAATGCACCATGACAAACTGTTGCTGCTGCGGTCTCCACTGTCTATTGTTGCCTGACCTTTAGTGAAGCCCGCTGACAACAGGTCGGGTTACGGCTAAGGAGAGAGTGACACCATTCTTCTGATCGGCCTTCAGCTTCATCTGGGCTCAATGCTCATCCCTGGTCTCCTTCAGTCACTCACACAGCGCCGGCAGAGCCTTCTATTCACTGAGGCTCCATTTAATACAGGAGAAACCTAAGCCAGTCATGGTGGAGTCGTGTTGGGTGACCAGCTGATCTGTGGGTGTGCGGTGTGTGTCTGTCGCAGGAAGGGAGTCTCAATCTGCACCATTATGGCTTCACAACACACAGCTCCTCAAGCTTTTAAAAACTTTTGAGTAATATTACAACAAGTTCTGACAGGTGTCTTTTTTCAAACAGTCCGATTTTTTTTTATTAAACTAAGCTTGTGATGTTGATTTTACTGAAAGTAGGCAAGCATATATGCACCAGGATATAGGATGTGAGCTTATTAACGCTCAGAGAGATAAACATGTCTGAAATTGAATTACTTTGTCCAGGTGGGATATTGTTATGCCAAAATTCATGGGCCAATCTTTTGTAAATAGCATGAGTATCAGTAAAACGATCACCCTGCATATAAGATGAGGGAACAAATGTATTTAACACAGTCTAAAATTGGAAATGATATGATATGAATAAAGACATTCACGTTTATTGATACTTAGTGGTACTACAGACATGCATTTTGATCTGAAATTGAAAGGAGAGTTAGGGTTCTTTAGAGTTTGGGTTACACAATACTTTTTCTTTAGACTTGTGTATAGTGCAGTGAGGCTTTTACTGAGAAGAGAAATGTAGAAAAGCTATGACTGCTTGACCAGACAGCAACCCTTGAGTCACAATAAAGACACAGGACTGGAATGCAGTAATGAATAAAAATATTTACCCTGGACTCATCCACGCACTCATTTAGTCCAGGCATCGGCATACAATCATGGAAACTGTCTTAAAGAGTTCTCATCACACAGCGTCGTACAGCGGAAACATATTATTCTTTAGTCATGCCAATCAAAGGTTTCAGATGGAAACGAGAGACGCAGCGAGGGTGGGAAAGTTTAATACAAATCTGAGGAACATCCACACTGACGTAGCAGTCCTGACAGACGCGGTCCACGCCGACTGCTGAAACACGGCGCCGAGCATTTGAGTTTGGAAAACAAACAAGACTATTATTGACGTGCCAAATGTGTGTATTTATGTATAAGGGAATAATCGTTCTTTCCTTGTTTTCTTTTCCGAAATACTAATTTGATGCTGAGTTATAGTAACGGGTCCGTGGAGGAAAGCGTGTTAATCGTGTAGAGCGTATTATTACTTGGGAAGGAGAAGGAGGTTTCACTGCCTGCTGGGGAACCAACAGGCTCTGCCACCCAGAGGCATGGACGTTACCCAGAACCCTGCATGAGGAATTGTATGCAACAGAGATGGTTTAGCAAAGCCAATTCGATCTGAAAAATGGCTTCTTTCTCGTAGTAAATGGGATGTCAAAAACCTATTTAGGTTTGGATATTTTGGCCATGCAGTGCTGTGCAGTCAAATCCAGTACTCCTCCTGGTATTGAAGAAAAGTGTTTTAACAGTACTGGTTTTAGCAGTTTTCTCACTTTTTGTTTATGATGAGCGTGGAAAGAATCAGAATCAAAATCAGGGTACTTTATTTAGAAATTAGATTTTGTAACAGTTGTCAAATTCAGAAATGTTTTTATTAAATCAAATAAAAATGCAATATTAGCATAGAGAAGTAAATATGTACAAATTGCACTATACTACACCACACTAATAAATATGTAAAAATGTGTATATTACAATATATTTATTAAAATGAATGATAGTAATGCTGAAAACCAGATTATTAACCAAAGTTAAAATAAAATGCAGATAAAAACCTCTAAAACTATGCTAAAAAAGCATAAACGTCAATAGGTTCTCTGTCTCGTCCACGAGGAGATTCCCCTCAAAAATAAACTGTTTAGAGAGAAATGAGCCCATGAGTTAAAGTGGTAAAAACATGGAGCTGTGCTGGCCGAGGCTTCTGACACAGGATTGATTTTACCTTTGATATTATCTATGAAAACAGTTTAGACAGCACTAATCACATTAATTGCTTTAAACATGTTTAGTTTTCCTCTCCGAAAACTCCGTTTTAGGTAAACTGGCAGATTACCGCACGAGTGGAGCAAACGCTGGCAGCGTGGAGGGGTTTGAGCACTGTTTGACACCGTCTCACTCTTGAGTCGAGGGTTCAGAAGCTCGGTAAACATTGGGGATGACAGCGGGGTCTTGACATGGCTGAAGGAGGCGAGAGCGGGTTGAGAGGCTGGACAGCTGCTGATCACTACGGACAGATTATAGACGCAGCATGCAGGCGAGTGGAGGCCTTCGTGGGAAATGACTCCTGACTGGCAGGGAGAAGGCCAAACAGAGCGGGGGCTAAAAGGCAGCAGTGTGCAGCTCCGCTCACATGCGGCGGCTCATTAGCAACCTGCAGGAGCTGCGGATGATGGAAACAAACCAGCCGTTATGGAGGGGTGTCCGCAGGAAGTATGGCTGCTGACATGTAAGGCAGAGGTCTGATTAAAAGCTTTAATGCACGGCGTACAAACAGAAATGCAGAGAGAGAACCAGAGCTAAGATCAGCGGGGGGAGAAGTACCTTTATAGATTTTTTTACTAGTAAAAGTCCTGCATTTCAAATCTTGCTTTAAAGTAATAGGGATCAACATGTACTGTACCTACTATACCAAAAGTGAACACTACATATTGCGTCTCACCATTTCAGAATGATTTATATTAAATGACTGGATTATGACTTGTTGATGCATTAATGTGTTCATCACAGCTAATGTGAAACTAACTCAAATGACTTTTTGTTGTATTATAATACATTATTTATTGGTTTATTTGGATTTAGCTGAATCTGAATCTCTAGAGAAACTGGCAACTAAAGTTGTAAAATAAATTAAGTTGAGTAAAGGTACAATATTGTAGTAGAGTAGAAGTAAGAAGGAGTTTAAAATATAAAAGCTCAAGTATAATACCTCAAAATGTAACATACAGTACCTGAGTAAATG